CCCTGAGGTGGACTCCATGCTGCACGCAGCCCCTGAGGTGGACTCCACGCTGCACGCAGCCCCTGAGGTGGACTCCACGCTGCACGCAGCCCCTGAGGTGGATTCCACGTTGCACGCAGCCCCTGAGGTGGATTCCACGCTGCACGCAGCCCCTGAGGTGGATCCTCACCTCTCCTGTTCTGAGGGGGTTCCGGCGAACGCTCCTCACCTCCTGTTCAGAGGGGGTTCCGGCGAACGCTCCTCACCTCTCCTGTTCCGCGGGGGTTCCGGCGAACGCTCCTCACCTCTCCTGTTCCGAGGGGGTTCCGGCGAACGCTCCTCATCTCTCCTGTTCAGAGGGGGTTCCGGCGAACGCTCCTCACCTCTCCTGTTCCGAGGGGGTTCCGGCGAACGCTCCTCATCTCTCCTGTTCTGAGGGGGTTCCGGCGAACGCTCCTCACCTCTCCTGTTCCCAGGGGGTCCCGGCAGACGCTCCTCATCTCTCCTGTTCCGAGGGGGTCCCAGTAGACGCTCCTCAGCTCTCCTGCTCCATTCCTGCCGCCGCCGCAGGGGGCTCCGTTCCTGCCGCCGCCGCAGAGGGCTCCGTTCCTGCCGCCGCCGCCGCAGAGGGCTCCGTTCCAGTTTCCGTTCCTGCCGCAGAAGACTCTGTTCCTGCCGCAGAGGGTTCCGTTCCAGTTTCCGTTCCTGCCGCAGAAGACTCCGTTCCTGCCGCAGAGGGTTCCGTTCCAGTTTCCGTTCCTGCTGCAGAAGACTCCGTTCCTGCCGCAGAGGGTTCCGTTCCAGTTTCCGTTCCTGCCGCAGAAGTTCCTGCTTCTGCAGAGCCACAGGCCTCTCCGTCATCTGCTGCAGAGCCACAGGCCTCTCCGTCGTCAGCTGCAGAGCCACAGGCCTCTCCGTCGTCTGCTGCAGAGCCACATGCCTCTCCGTCGTCTGCTGCAGAGCCACAGGCCTCCACGACAGCAGCAGCAACTTCCCAGGCCTCCACGACAGCAGCAGCAACTCCCCAGGCCTCCACGACAGCAGCAGCATCTCCCCGGGCCTCTACGACAGCAGCAGCATCTCCCCAGGCCTCTACGACAGCAGCAGCATCTCCCCAGGCCTCAACAACAGCAGCAGCATCTCCCCAGGCCTCTACGACAGCAGCAGCATCTCCCCAGGTCCCCTCGTCTCCTGCTGCACACTCCAAGGTCCCCTCGTCTCCTGCTGCACACTCCAAGGTCCCCTCGTCTCCTGCTGCACACTCCAAGTTCCCCTCGTCTCCTGCTGCACACTCCAAGTTCCCCTCATCTCCTGCTGCAAACTCCAAGTTCCCCTCGTCGCCTGCTGCAACCTTCAAGTTCCCCTTGTCGCCTGCTGCAACCTTCGGGTTCCCCTCGTCGCCTGCTGCAACCTTCAAGTTCCCCTCGTCGTCTGCTGCAGCTCTCCAGGCTCCCACGCCGTCTGCTGCAGCTCTCCA